TTTAAACTCAAGTTAAAGTCGACTTAATCTTAATTCAAGCTTAAATCAATAGTTAAAATTGTACCTAACATTCTCCTCCAAAATTTTTATTTGTCCAAATATAGTTGTAATACTTTTTACTTCCACCGATAAATAATAGTACTACATTTATTAATTGAACGTACGGAATGTACATAATAAATAAATTATTTATTTATTTACTTAAAATAGCAGCTTTTCTAATAGGTAAAAACCATTCTTAAACCCTCAAACTTATTTCAAAATAGCATTTAAGCCTTTAAACTAGAAATGAAGCAGATAAGTCCTCTAACTCTACTAATTATACAAATAAACCCTTCTCATTCATAAGTATTCATGCTTTTAAGGTGATATTAAACATAAAATACCATTTGTGAGAAGTGTTTATTTGCATTGTTAATGAAATTGGAGAATTTATCTATTTTATTTTTAATTTAAGAACTTAAATATTATTTTGAAATAAGTTTAAGAGCTTAAGAAAGATTTTTGCCTTTCTAATAATTTTACAATCAAGAGCTTGGACACCACAATCGGTAGTGTCATTGCAACTCCCCATGGGGAGTGCGGAAGACATCATGAATTTGTGATAATGTAAATTTGTGACCGTAGTACGTTGCGGGATGGAAAAAATCTGTTGTATCTTTGGGATGCGGTAAAGGTGATATCTCGAGTCAATTTAAAAACACTATTAATTATTTGGTTCTATGTGATCTCGTGATCATTTCTTTTGTGGGAACATGTATGAATGTGAAAGTTTTGGGATCTATTCTCAGGTACTACTCTCTTATTCATAGTTGTTAAAATCAAGTTTTAAATGGTAAAATCATATGATTTTATGATTTTAGGTATGTATTTTGAGTAAAATCTATGTTAAAATCGGAATTCCATGAAATTGGATGGAAAAAACGTAAATTCACAATTTTATGGTAAAATCGTTTGAAATCTTGATTTTACATGGAGTGGAGGAATCACCCTGATGGTTGGTCGATTGCTGTAAGATAAAGGAGATGACTTGCAACTGTTGTTAGGTGAAGGAGAGTAGATCGATGATGAGGAACGAGTGATGAGAATGGTAATCGGTGACGAAAGGCGTGAAAACTGATGACCAGAGAAAATGAAGAAAGATGGTTCTAAATGGGAGAAGAATCAAGTGATGATCGATGATGGAGATGGAGGCTGTTGATTGGAAAAAAAAAATGGAGAAAAGGGATTTTGGATGGAAGAAGAATCAGGGTTTTTTTTTTTTTTTGTCGTCTACTGCCTCCTTTTTTTTGTGTAGCTCTCCCCTTTAAGAGAAAGGAAACCTAGGATTTTTTGGGTTTGGGTTTTAATGGGTTGATTTGTGAAAGTGACTAGTGAGCTCAATATTTGGATTTGGGTTGGATTTGTTGGTTTTTCTTAGTGGATTTCACCCCCTAATTTTTACTTTCTTCACATACATACCTTTCTTGAGTTCTTTTTTCAAAATTCTTCATAAAATTTTCTCTTTTTGCATCTAGCACCTAAAACAAAATAAAATATATGTTATTTAAAGAAAAGAGAAAATTTCATATTTTTATGTTAGTATAGAAGTATAAATTTTTATTATTTATTTATTAAATTTAGTAAACTTTCGATTTTATCGATTCGATTTTATGATTTCGATTTCACCTAACGAAAACGATTTTAGATAAAATTTCGATTTTAACAACCTTGTTCCTATCCCCAACAATTCCCCTAAGTTGAAAAAAAAAAAACACTATTAATTTTTGGACAGTATTATAAGAACAATTTTTTTATATCATCTTTTGATATAATCTTTACATGTCATTAAAGAAATTGATATATTTAATATCACAGATCCTAGATGAATAAAAAAAAATCAATCATTTAAATGATACATCAAATTATATCAAAAAGTGATACAAAAAGATTGTCTCAAAATAATTTCTCTTAATTTTTTTCAGATTCCTTTCATTTAAAAAAAAATAATATGGTGTTTTTAAATTGACCTAAGATATTATCTATGTTGTCTCTCGAGAATACAGTAAACTCTTTTTTTT